ACTTTCAAGGGGGGGGGAAGAGGAACGAACTGGGGGGACAGCGAAAATAGTACAACAATGAATGAATGGGAATCCAAAATCTGTGCAAATGTTCATTAAAATTAATAAAATTTAATTAAAGAAAAGTTGCAAATAGAGATACCATTTGACCCAGCAATTCCACTACTGGGAATATACCCCAAAGAGACCATAACTGACATCCAAGCAGATAAATGCACACCCATGTTTATTGCAGCTTTGTTCACAATAGCAAGGAGTTGGAAACAACCTAAGTGCCCATCAACAAAGCAATGGATAGAGAAGCTGTGGTATATTCACATAATGGAATACTACACTGCATTGAAAAACAAGGAACTCATGCAATATTATTCAAAATGGGTGATCCAGCATGGGAGCTCTGGTGGCCTAGTGGGTAAGGACTTGCACTGCCAAGCCAAAATGGGTGATCCTGGAGGACATTATGCTGAGTGATGTATCTCAGTCACAAAAGGACAAATACTGCATGGTACCACTGTTGTAAAACAAGACTGACATGGGGGTTGGAGGGAGACTGAGAAAGAAGGGTTCAATAATTATACTGCATTAAAACAGATGAGGGAGAAAACTATTTAAAAGGGATATGTGATTAGATATTTTTGTCATGACTGGAGTCCAGAGTGAAGGTTGCATAATGGAGTGGACCTGTGGGGAGGGATTGTAAAACAATTGTAAAAAGAACTTTTCTTTTACTTTTCCAAAAGGGCAGTGTACTGGGGGGAGGGTTGGGAGGGGAGAAAAGTGCAACAATGAATTAATGGAAATTCAAAGTCTCTGTCAAGTTTCATTGAAATTAGTAATAAAAAAAATGGTTTACAGCTCAAAAAAGAAAAAAGTGTGATATACTGTAGTCTCTAACTACTATAGTAGTGTTGTCTATTTCCTTTTTCAGTTTTGTTAATGTTTGTTTTAGATATTTTGCAGGTCTTTCATTTGGTGCATTGATATTATTTTTTTCTGGTTGGCATTTGGTTGATATATTTTCTCCCACCCTTTTATTTTTAGTTTTCCTTTATGTTCATTTTTCAGGTGTGTCTCTTGTAGACAACATATTGACAGATTTTGGGTTTTTTATCCAATCTGCTATTCTTTTCTCTTCAGTAGTGTATTCAAATCATTCGCATACAGTGTGATTACTGAGAGGCAAGGTTTTATTGCTACCATTTTGTTGAGCTCTACTTGGTGTTGTTGCTAGTTACTCTGGTACATCCAGCTTTCTGTGGAACCTCTGTAAGAAGGATGTCTCTCAGTGTTTCCTGCAACACTGTTATTGTTTTTACAAACTCCCTTAAGTTATTTTTGTCTGGAATTCTTGATCTCTCCTTCATATGTGATGGACAGTTTTGCTGGGCACAGTATTCTTGGTTGACAGTTTTGTTTGATATATGTCATTGCATTGTCTTCTTGCTTGTATGGTTTCTGCTGAGAAATTGGCACTTTATCTTATCTGCTCTCCCTTACAGGTTACTCTCTGTTTCTCTCTAGCTGCTTTCAGAATTCTCTCCTTATCTTTGGTTCTAGTAAATTTGCCTATGATATGCCTTGATGTTTTTCATTTAGGGTCTATTCTATGTGGTGTTCGCTCAGCTTCTTGAATGTATATTCTCTTATTCTTCATTATGCCTGGGAAGTTTTCCTCTAGTAATTATTCCATATTTTTTTTGGTGCCTTTACTTGCTTCTTCCTGTTCTGGGATTCCAATTATGCACATGTTGTTTCTCTTGATTGTATTCCACATTATTCTTAGGTTGTCTTCTTTTTCCTTCCTTTTTCATTGTGCTTTTTACTCTAGCAGATCAGTGGTGACAATTCTACTATTTCACTGATTCTGTGCTCTATCTCATCAACTCTGTTCATGTGTCCTTCCATCATATTGATAGCATTGGAAACATTGGTCCTCATATTTTGGATAGTAGTTTCGTGTTTTTCCAGAGCCTCTAATGCCTCCTTTGTATTATCTGCATTGTTTGGGAATTTTTTTAAGCTCCTCCTGGGTTTTGCTTTTAGTGTCTTGTAATTCAAATTTGTCTTTCACCCATTGAAAATATTCAATCATAGTTCTTTCAAATTCTGTGTTAGAAAGTTCCATTAGCCTTTCTGGCTTTAGGAAATCCATTAACACTGTGCCACTTTCTTTAGGGGGTGGGGTGGGGTGACATTTTGCTTTGGGCTTGTGTAGGGTGTGCATAGCCTGCTTCTTGTGTGACATTGTTGAGGTAGAGTTTTTCATATCTCAGATAATGGCAGGTTCTTTATCTGAACTCCAGAAGAGGGTGGGGCAGCTACCCTGTCTGTGTTTCTCTCCGAACTTCTGACCCACGTGAAGATTTGCTTCAGTTTGAGAGAAAAAAGACCTGTGAAAACAGACGACTTGTGCAGCTAGGCCAGTTCAAGGTGCTCCAGGCTAAAGACAGTTAAGTGACTGGATATGACGAGATGAACACTGGAGCATAGATGCACACAGGGCAGGCGCACGTGCAGACACATGCACAGCAGGCCCAAACATAAGACAGGTGCAAACACAGATGCATACAGCGCATGTGGGCATGCAGACACACACAGGGTGGGCACACATGCAGGGCAGACATGCACACCTTTGCACACAGGGTGGGTGTGAATATAGACACATACAGAGCAGGTGCAGGCACCTGAATGTAAAACCAGGAAGCCTTGGTTTTCGCCTTGAGAACTGGGTCTGCCACCTCACTCGAGCTCCAGATGTGTCACCATCCTTCTGCTTGAGCTTTAGAGGTCCCACATGATCCAGCCAAATAGCAGTGATCCCCACAAAGTACCTCACTCTAATTCAAGCTGTCCCGCTTGGTCCCAGGGGGTCACTCCCGCGGGTTGCTCCTAGTCCATATCACTTCAGATCTGCATCAATTCAGGTGTGTGTTGCTCCCAACTCAGTTCACTCTTTTATGAAGGTGGTGCAAATTCAGTTTCTTCCTAGTAATAGCCATCCATGGCTGTTGATGACATAGTGCCTGCTAATGATCTCAACTACTTAATATCTTGATTTTTTCCCTTTGCTTTGGCTTCTTGGCGCTATAGTGCAATATTCAGAGTGTCTTATGACATCCATCTTGGTCTTTTCTTCCTTCTCTGTCTTTGCAATGACCTTTTACATTGTTCTTGGATGATATACTTTATATCCTCCCACAGCTCATCTGGTTTTCGCTCATTAATGTCCAAGGCCTCAAACCTGTTCCTGAGATGGTTTTGAAATTCAGGCAGGACAGCCTCAAGGTCAAATTTTCATTCTTGAGGACTTGATTTTATTTTCCTCAGCTTCAGTTTGAACTTGCATATGAGTAGCTGGTGTTCTGTTCCACAATCAGCACCTGGCCTAGTTTTCACAGCTGACATTGAGCTTCTCCAGTTGTTCTTTCCACAGATGTTAATAGGTCTGATTCTTATGCATGGCATCAGGTGAAATCCATGTGTATAGCCTGCACTTACATTTCTTATAAAACATATTTACAATGAACATATTGTTGATTGTGCAGAATTCTGTCATTCTATCTCCAGCTTTATTTCTGTCACCAAGTCCATGTTTTCTAACTACTGATCCTTCTTTGTTCCCAACTTTTACATTCTAGTCACCAATTATTATTATTATTATTATTATTAATGCATCTTAATCACATGTAAAATCAATCTCTGACAGCAAATGTGGTAGAAATCTTCTTTTTCCTCCTCTTTGGTTCTGGGTGTTGGTGTATATATTTTAAGGATGGTGGTATTAATTGGACTTCCTTGTATGCATATGCATATTATGCTATCACTCACAACATTGTATTTCAAGGCAGATCAAGCATAACATATGTAATTTTCTTTAATTACATATTATAATGGTTCTCTGTAACTTCCTCTTGCCCTCTGGATGCCTAGGTTCACTCCATATGAGTGTGTTCTTTCTCTATACACATGTTGATATATGCCAAATAGAGATACACTATAACTTCTTAGTTTTCTGAGCCATGATGTCAGTTTGAAGACTACAGGACACCTGATTCAAGTCATTGTCTTTTCAATCACTTTCTATGCCTCTAAGAGATGGAATATTAATAAAGATGACAGGAGAATCAATAACTTTGAAGTGTGGGATTAGAGAAGAGTACTGAATATCTTCCATTGTCTGCCAAAAGAATAAATAAATGTCTTGGAGAAGGTACTGCAGAGTGCTCCTTAGAGGCAAGGATGGTGAAGTCACTATCATCCTCACATACTTTGAGCATGTTTTTAGGAGGGGTTATTCCTTTAAAAAAGACATCATGTTTGGAAAGGTGGAGAGTCAGGGAAAGAGAGGGTGACCCACAATGATATGGATTGCCATAGAGACTGCAGGAATGGGTTCAAGTGTGTCAGAGATGAGGTTGGCACAGGATAGGAGAGGGTTCAGATCTGTTGTTCATATGGTTGCTAGAAGTTGTTCTCAACAACAGTACATAACCAGAATAACAACATAACTTCTTACACTATGTTTTTATTGAAGACTATTTAAATTCTTTTGAAATTATTCGACCATCATTCATTTCTCTAAAGTATAAAGTGTTAAATAATTATTCTTAATTATTTTAAATTATTCCTTGTCATTTATGTTATTATTGAGTGTGACTGAATCCATCTTAATCAATTCCAACTCATAGGTACCAATCTATAGGACAGAGAAGAATTATCCTTCCCAAAGGGTCTCCTAGAGTGTTATTTTCACAGGACCAGACTGTGTAGCTTTTTTCTCTCCTTCTCATATGCACATCATAAGTTTAAGCCAGAATAGATTCTTTTCAATTGTCTGAGTACACTACAAGAAAGACTATGTCTTAGAACAGTAGTTTTCTCTTCGCCATTTGTTTTTAAGAACTAAAGAAAAGATTCTCAATCAACACCACGAAAGTACATATTCCTCTATAACTAGAGTGTTATCTGCAGTGATTCCCAGGCACTGTAGTCTTATCCACTTACCTAGTGAGGAACCGCCAGTATTTTCTTTCTCTATCTTCCAGGGCTCTTCTCCTTGTTGCAACAGGGAGATGACTTTTGGCTTAGAAAATGAAGGTCCTGCACATAAGAGGGAGGGTGGAATCACCTTGGTTTGATGTTTTGGTTTTTTATACATTTAAGAACGGCAGTACTTAGTCGCAGATCTTTTGTCAAGAGAAAAACAAAATGTGAGTGGAAAAAATGCAGGATGGTGCAAAGATTTTCTGTGAGATGTCCCTACCTTGTGTAAGGAATGTGCTAGGAGGAAGATGAGTGATTTATAGAACATGATTATGTTACAATCAGTTCTATGTTAACAATACTATGTTAGAGAAAAACAGCAAACATGTAGCCCTGATCAATAAGTACCATTAGCTTTCCACAGAAGAGAAAATATATTCAACATAGAGACAGAATTTAGGCTTTTCAATAGAAATCTACTTGAAATATATACTCATCAACTTCTTTATTAGAAGAAAAAGATGACCTGACTCTTTCAAAGATAGTAGCCATCAACAAACTATGAGTTAAGGGCTACTATTGTTTATATACTGCTAATAGTTTTAGTTTGCTTGGCTCCACAATCAACACTCTTGGTAACAGCAGCCAGGAAATCAAAAAACAAATTGCATTGGGAAAGTCACTGTGAGGGACCTCTCAAGAGTACTGAAGAGCAACGACGTCAGGCTGGAGACTAAGGTGAGCTTGATCTGGGCTATAGTCTTCGCAATCACGTGCTATGCATCAGAGAGTTGGACAGTGAACAGGGTTGACAGAAATAGAATTGATGTCTTTGAGCTGTGGTGCTGGCTAAGAGTGTTGAATATACCATGGACTGCTAGTAGAACAAACAGGTTTGTCCTGGAGAAGGTGAAGCCGGAATGCTCCTTGGAGTCAAGGATTCTGAAGCTTTGTCTGACATACTTTGGGCATGTTGCAAGGAGGGACTAGTCCTTGGAGAGGGATATCATGTTTGGCAGAGTGGAGAGGCTGCGAAGGAGAGGAAGACCTTCGATGACATGGATCGATTCTGTGACTGGAGTGGTGGGAATAAGTGCATTTGAGATGGCTAGGTTGGCACAGGATAGAACAGACTTTAGAACTCTTATACATAGGGTTGCTATGAGTCACAAATGACTCGATGGCACATAACAACAACAACAGTAAAGAATAAGTATTTCATCTTGCTTGGATTAAAAATTAATACCCTTAGAACCAGCAGTCAGGAAATAAGGAGACACACTGCACTGAGAAAGTCTGCAGTTAGGGACTTCTCCAAATTACTGTAGTAATGATGTCAGTTGGAGGACTAGGGCATGTCTGAATCCGGCCATGGTCTTTCCGATTACTTGCTATGCATCTGAGAGCTGAACAATGAATAAGCATAACAGAAGAAGAACTGATGCCTTTGAGCTGTGATGATGGAGGAGAGTGCTGAACACCCCATGGACCATCCAAAAGAACAAACAGATACACCTTAGAGAGGGTGCAGCCAGAGTGCTCTTTGGAGGCAAGGATAATGAAACTTCACCTCATATACTTTGGGTATGTTGCTAGGATGGAATATTTCTTGGAGAAGCACATGATGCTGAGAAAGATAGAGGTTCGGAGAAGGAGAACAAGAGGCTCAACCAAGTGGATTGACATGGTGACTGCTGCAATAGGCTCTTGTGTGTCAGGAAGTGTGAGGATGGTACAGGATAATACAGAATTCAGATCTTTTGTTCATAGGGTTGCTATGAGTCATACTTGACAGCATCTAACAACAACAAGATGAGCCAAGAATAGTTTAAAAAATTATACAGAGACCATATCTGGACCTCCAAAGCTTAAAATATCACAGTTAACCCTTTACAGAAAAGTTAGTTCATGACTGGTAATATAATATTCATCTAGCTGGAAAAGAAAAGGTTAAACTAAGCCCTGTATTGAAAAATGGTTTGTCCTGGAGAGGGTGAAACCAGGCTTCTCCTTGGAGGCAAGGATTCTGAAACTAGGTCTGACATACTTTGGTCATGTTGCAAGGAGAGATGAGTCCTTGAAGAGGGACATCGTACTTGGAAAGGTGGAGTGACAGCGCAGGAGAGAAAGACCCTGGATGAGATGGACTGACACAGTATCTAGGATAATGGGGATAGGTGTGTCAGAGACAGTAAAGTTGGCTCAAGATACAGCATGGTTCAAAGCTGTTGTACATATGAGTCACAATGAGTCACAAACAACTTGATGGTATATAAAAATAACAAGATTGAAAGATGAACAAATAAAAAAACTACATAGCAATCATTTTAAGGAAATGATGCCTGAACAATGAAATTTCTACTGTTATAGTACAGAGAGAAGAAGATAATCAAGATCAATCCCTTCATTTTCCTACATAGTGTAATTTTATGCCAACAAGGGGAGGGGAGATACATTTTTACATTTCTTTGTGAAGATCCTGTAAGACAACCTATGATAAAATTAAGTTACATTTTTTTGATGACTCATGGTTTATATTAAGGAAAGAAAGTGTTGAGATATCTCAATTTCTGATTTTTTTTTTAATTCACAGGGTAATTTTTTTTTCCTTACCCAAAGAGACCAGGTTGCTATAGTTCTCCAGCATCACATCTCGGTACAAGTTCCTCTGAGAATGATCCAGTTTTCTCCACTCAGCCCGTGTAAAGAGCACAGATATATCCGTGAATGTTACCGACATCTGTAAAGACAAGCCATTCAAGCTCATCCATACTACCTAGCACACAGAAGGATGAAAATGGTGGTAGGAGAGGCAGACAAATTATCTAGGAAAAAAACTATTCTGTTATTCAAGGTTCTAAGGGCTCCAGATCATTTGATTAATGAACAATCAATGGCAAATACATCTTGAGCAGAATAAATCAGGTACTGATAAACACTGTAAGCAAATAAATAAACAAAACCCAACTCACTGATGTCGAGTAAGAACTGACTCACAGCTGTTAGTTCATTGAGTCGTGAGTTAGTTCATGAGGCTGTAAATGGTACAGGAGGAAACTGTCCAACTTTCACCCACAGAACCTGGTCAAGCCACCAGAGCTAAACACTGTAAATTATTTATAAATATTAAAATCATTGATGATGGTGTCAATTAGAATGTCTCTGAAGGTTATGTGAAAATACAAATCACAACTTTGGGGCTTTTTCCTTTGTTTTATTTTACTAACTTTTTATCATACTGTGAGTGAAAGTTCACAGCGCATATCAGTCCTTCATTCTGTCATCCACACAGAATAAATTCCACAGCATTAATCACAGCACCCTCACTGTAATAACACTCTTTCCTATCTGTGCTTTTTCATTCTATTCATCCCTCTATCCTATCCCTTCTTGTCTTCTGAGCTAATCTACCAGCTACAATATTTATATTTTAATAGTGCACACAAATGCAGATACAAAAATCTTTATTGTCGTATTTGTAAGAAAAAATTAAATAACCTAAATAATGACTAGTGGAGACTTGGCTAAGAAATTTATACATTGTCTGAATTTAAGGCTAGTAATAATGAAAATTAAAATAGTTTTATTGAATACTTTCTATATTCAATAAATTTCATATAATTAAATTTATATATTTATATTATATTCATCTTTACATTAATTTTCAATATAATATTTATACAATCTCATAATAACCCTATGAAGAAGTTACTAATACTCTTTATCTCACACATAAGAAAATAAAGTCATCATGAGAAAAGGAAATCTACTAAAGCCACAGCTAACAACAAAAGTCAAATAGCTAGTTAGTGGTAAAGCAAAGATTCCAACTCATATAGATATCCAGGTTCATTCTGGCAAAACTGTCTGTCTCACAGTACCTATCTCATAGGGTTAAAAAAATGGATAAATTGTGTATATTGCATTGAAACAGATGAAGGAGAGAATAGTTTAAAAGTGATATATGATTGGGTATTATGGTTATGACAAGAGTCCAAAATGAAGGTTGCATAGTGGAGTGTACTCAGGGTGGGTATGGAGGTGGATTGTTTACCAATGAAGGAATTTTTCTTTTACTTTTCAAAGAGAAGAGCAAACTGGGGGGAGGGGTGGACAGGGAGAAAAATACAACAGTGAATAAATGGAAATCCAAAATATCTGTAAATATTCATTAAAATTAATAAAATTTTTAAAATAGCTCACGTAAAATAATGCATGATTCAGATTAAAAGGTTATGTTCCAAATCAAATCAAATCCACTGTCATGGAGTTTACGGTTACTGACAAAGCTACATAATCAAATAGTGTGTAATGATTAAAAGAGCTCTGGAGACCTAATGGTAAGAAACTGCACTGCAATCCCAAAGGCATGTAGTTCGAATCCACCAGCTGCTCCATGGGAGAAGGATGACAATCTTCTCCCATGAAATTTACTGTGTCTGAAAACCTGCTGGAGGATTAGCTATGGGTCAGTTCTGATTCGACAGCACACAACAGTAACAGAAATGTGTGATGAGTTAGTTCTGTTGGCACAACGATTAAGTGCTCTGCTGACCAGAGTCAGCCATTCAAACCCACCAGCCACTCTATTGAAGAAAGATTACAGCCTTGGATACCATATGGGACAGTTCTACTCTGTCCTACTGGGCCACTGCAAATTGACAACAACTCAGTGTGATGCTCCTCTAAAACTTGGAAGTGGTATTTGGAATTTGTCCTCATGTATGCAAAATAGAAGTAAGTATATATTTGTGCATAGAAAATTATTACAACAGATGCATACCAAAGAAATAACAGTAATTATCTCCAAAGGTTTTACTTTCTTGATTATATATTAAGAATTATTTTACTTTCTTCTTTTTATATATTTTTAAATCTCTGTAATCTTTACAAAGAATTCATAATATATTTATAGGAAAGATGATTTTTTAGCATATGGGAAAATAAATACAAGAAATAATCCTGGTCCTCAAAGAACTGACAATTTAATTAACAGATAAGAAAAATGCATAGAATAATTATTCAATTACTTGAAAATAAAAGTTTGTATGTGCCATGTCTTAGTTCAATCCTCATTACACAGATAAAAGATACATGACTAGGGTAGTCAAGACCTTAGGTCATTTATTTTATAAGTGGCTAAGACAAGACTATCAAAAAAGTTTTCTGATTTTTAACACAACACTTTGTATGGCTTCTCTGGTCTTAGGATTCTCACCATTGATGTTTATATATAAGTCCACACAGTACTGATATATGGACAGCAGATGCAATTACGGAGACTTTTATTAGTGATTTAGTCATATGCAAGGAACAAGAAAATTCTGGCCAACAACATAATTTGGCTCAATGTTGTTGTTGTTGTTGATTGCCATCGAGTCAAGGTCAACTCATAGCGACTCTGTTAACAAAAGACCTAATGCCTTTCTATACCTATCATTGTTTCTCCAAGTTCATAGAATTTCCAGAGGCATGTAGTTTATGAAGTGGATGCCACTCCTGCTTCCCAACCTATTTTACAACTGGGAGCTCCACCAAACACTGTCCACAATGGGAAATCATTCTGGTATTTGATATCCCCATGGCACAAGGTTTAGCATCATAGCAAACCCAGGTTATCTCACATTGACAGTGATGTGCAAAGTGGAAAAATGTTCCTCCAGATATAACAGTACTAGTCTCATTTAGCAGTGGTTAAGTGTTGTTGAGTCAAATATGACTCAGAGTAAGCTTTGCACAAAAGACCTGAACTCTATGATTAACATAATTTCTGTACATTTATAAGAGAGTTTGTAGAATTTGGATCTATAGGAATGTATTAAAATGGCTTCAAATAAGAGCAATCCAAATATGTAACATAAGACCCTTACTGTAGCCTCAGATTAAACAATTCTTCATTTCATGGACCCACGTGGACCTTCATTTCATGGACAACATCACATTAGAGAAGAGCCTGAGTAACATGTAGGCTGCATCTGTCCTGTGTTCTGATGAGGCACAGTATCTGAATGACTAACATGCACGAATTATTCATTCCTTGACTTCTTTGATCAAGAAGTGGTTGTTCAAACCTAAAAAATGAACATGGACTAGTTTAAAATCAGGGAAGATGTATATCAGGGTTGTATCCTTTCTCCATACCCATTCAATCTGTAGTCTGAACAAATCATTCTAGAAATAGGACTATATGAAGAAGAATGTGGCGTCAAGATTGGAGGATAACCGATGTTATGCAGATAACACAACCTTGCCTAAAGAAAGTAAAGAGGCTTGAAGCACTGACTGCATAAGAGCAAAGATTACAGTTGTCAATATGGGTTACATCTCAACATCAAAAGAACAAAAATTCTTATTGTTCCAGTGGAACAATAAGCAAAATCATGATAGACAGAGAAAAGTATGAAGTTGCCAGTGATTTTATTTTACTTGGATCCTTGATCAATACTCATGGTAGTAGCAGTTAAGAAATCAAAAGACATGTTACATTGCAGGGAAATGCTATCAAATGCCCCTCCAGTGCTAAAGAACAAGGATGTCAGTTTAAAAAAATAAGGTGAAACTCATCCATGCCATGGTTTTTCAATTGCTTCATCTGCATTTGAAAGTCAGACAATGCATAAGGAAGACTATGAAAAAATCAATACTTTTGAAATGTAGTGTTGGTGAAAAGACTGACAAAGAACAAATCTGTATATAAAGAAATGCAACCAGAGTGCTCCTTAGATGCAAGAATGGTAAAACTTCATTTCACTTGAATGGAAATCCAAGTTCTTTATAAACTTTTATTAATCTAAAAAAAATCTCAAGAACAAATACCAAACTCCATTTCACAGGGAATGGCAAGAGACACACTGACAAAGGAGATTAAGCAGAACTGGCTTTGACAAGCACTGTGGCAACTGGACAATTAAAACAGACATTCGGGGGTGGGGGAAGAAGAACGAACTGGGGAGGAGGGTGGAGAAAACAGTGCAACAATGAAGGAATGAAAACCCAAAATCTCTGTAAATGTTCATTAAAACTAATAAAATTTAATAATAAAAAAAGAAGGAACAATTACTAGGAGAGAGACATCAGGTTGGTCAGAAAAAAAAGAAAACGATCTTCCACGACATACATTGACATAGTAACTACCACAATGGGCCTGAGCATGACAGAGAGCATGAGATTGACACAAGATAGGGCAGGGTTCCTATCTGTCGTTCACAGGGTGACAATGAATCATAGTCTACTTGATGGCACGTAACAACAATAACAACTATACCTGTAGTTGTATACCTATTGGTTATAATCCAATTTGAAAATATGTTTTATTATACCAGTGAGACAATATTAGTATAAGGTAGGACAAAAAAACATTTAATAAGCATATGAGATAGGGGAATAGAAATGCCATACTACATGAAGATCATGAAGGAATCAAGTAACAAAATGTCAAGGCACCAGACAGTTCCCCAGAGCTAAAGAAACAAAAAAAAAAACCTTCTGATCTAAACTGTGAGAAAATACACTTTTTCTCAGTCATCACTTGTAGTATTTCTGTTATGCTGTTATTTTTAGGGGTCATCGATTGAGTTGCCTACAACCCATAGAGATCACACTAAAAATAATCTTTATATAAATTTACATGAAGTTTCAAAAGAAAGCAGCAGCCAAGAAATCAAGATTTGCTGTCAAGGATTTCTTTAAAGCGCAAGGTTGTCACTTGGAAGATGTGTGCCTGGCTGAAGTCATGGTATTTTCAATCATCTCATACTTGAAAGTTACAGAAGATTGAAGAAGATGCCTTTGGACTGCCATGTTGGCAAAGAATAGTGAACATTTGGGCTGCCAAAAGAACAAACAAATCTGTCTTGGAAGAACTGTAGCCAGAATGCCCCTTAAAAATGAGGATAGCAAGACTGTGTCTTACACAGTTTGGACATACTATCAGGAGGGGCCAATTTCAGAGAAAGAAATCATGCTTGTTAAAGTAGAGGGTTACTGAAAAAAAGGGAGACCCCAAAACAAGATGGATGGACACACTGGCTGCAACAATAGGCTCAAACACTACACTGACTGTGTGTGTAGCGCAGGATCAGGTGGTGTTTCATTCATTTGTGAACAGGATTGTAATGAGTCAAAAAGTACCTGTGGGCACCTAACAACAATAGGTGTTGCATAGAAGATTCTATCACCTGGAATCTAGATAACTATTGGTAGAAATATAACATCAAAGGCATTTCTTTTGAGGGACTAGAAGGGATAACTTTAAGAAAGTCTTAAACACACTAGAAAATATGATTACCAGCAAGAAAATGTTGCTAGGAATTTGGATATCAAATATTCTTCTAGTGAGGTTTTTAAAGAAAATTATGTACAAGTGATTAGATAACAGAGGAAGGCAATCATTTTATGCAGTGGGAAAGAACTTTTCACAATTGCCTTCAAATGTGTTATAGAAAGTTGAACTTAAAAGTGATGAACTTGGCTGAGAAGCTATCTAAGCAAAATCTTTAAGAGGCAGTTTGGTCTCTATTTACTGTTTATTGTAAAATGCAAGATCAAAAAGATGGACTTAAAAATTAACTTCTCAAATGAAAACAGAACCTAAAGGACACATGTTTTAGAATTTTCACCAAAGAGTGGCTACACAATTTTTTATTAACGAGATTGAAGCCAGTGACTGGTGGATTTAAGCAATTATCACTGCAGAAGAAAACTCTTAACTTAGAAGGGGATAGAGGTAGAAGGAAAGGAAAGAAAGTTGTCTGTCTCTTGAAAGTCTACAGCCAGGAAACAAACCAAAGGAACTACATCTGTTGTTTTCTCAGAAAAGAATCATCCCTAGAGTAGGTCAGAGATGAGGAGAACTTGTAAGGAGCACAGAAACAGGGCTACTTTGTTCCAAAAGGGTGGAGCAAGGGTCACTTAGCTCTCAAAGGGTGGAGCCATGATGTTGTGAAGTATCTGCTGCACAGCTTCTGTACTTCACATCCAGGTCACTTAAGTAAAGGCCTTGGAACTAGAACAGTCTATAAGGAAGCTAGGAACTAGGTTTTTTTCATTCTTTCCCAGTTGCTTCTCTTTATCAGGGAAGATTTCCCCCTGTTCTGAGCACACCGTAGTTCTTTTGTACATGACAGGCACCTTGTAGCACCTGGTAAATCCTACTTCTATATCTGATCCCAGCAGCAAGGGAACAGGGTCTCCTGAATATGACATTAGTGGGGTGAATGTAGAACATTAGCCCTATACCAACCACATATGAGATGATCCTGCTGGCCATGTTCATTTTCTTAGCAGTCCATGGTATATGCAATACTCTTCTCCAACCTTCTATCATTCCTAGTCATTGTCCAGCTCTCTGATGCATAGCAAGTGATTGCAAAGACCATGGAATTTATCAGGCACACCTTAGATAAATGCCAGGCCACATCAAGGTTGTAAAAAAAAACAGCAAAAGCTCAAGAGACAAAGACAGTCCACTAGCACCTTCTTCTAGAGCTGGCATCCTGAATTCCGACTTTAAGCCCCCTATACTGCGATCAAATAAATAGTTCTTTGTAAAAGCCATCCACTTTTGATAGTCTTGTTGCAGAAGCATAAGGCAGCTGAGGCAGCTATTATTCGTCTCTTATAATTGAGAAAACAGATATACAAAAATTAAAGTTATCTTCACAAGGCCCACAAGAGGCAGCAGAGGACATGAGCTAAAACTAGGCCTTTTAGAATGAAAATCCCACTTTCTAACTACTGGTTACACAGTCTATACATAAGTTATACCCCACCATTCCTGTGACCTCCTGAGGAATCTTCCCTCTGTCCATGAAGTCAAAAACCACTCCAAAATGCATCCTTTCCAATATGACTCTCCCATGGCTATCCTGACTGGGACTCCTCCCTGATTCTCATGATATAGAAACACTGAATATGGCAAGTTAAGAACCGTTTTTGAGTGGTAAAAGTAGTGATTATAATACACAAAGTAAAGAGGGAGAACAAAACCAAGAATTATGAGTTGGAGAAGTCTGGGAAAGATATCAATTAGACAGAGGGAGAAAAAAAGAAAGAAAAGCATTTTTGCTAATGGAAGAAGACATAGCTAGTGAAGGAGGTAGGACCAGAAAGGAACTTATGCAAGTATGCATCTTTAATTTGTCCCCAGGGATATAAAATAAATGTCATCTTAAATGCTAAATTAGTAATCACACAATGGATAGATACTGGTTTTGTTCATTTTTAGGAAAAAAATGAAAGAAAGCAACATTAAAATGGATGAGAGGTAGGTAGGTACTGCTTTCAGAATTTACTGGCCACCAGAGTAGACCAATTCTTAGAGGTAAAAGGCTTGGATCCTAATCTTAGAGAAAGTATAACAAGATACAGAACTTTAGAGAGCTCTGGTGGTCTAGAGGCTAGGAATTGTGCTACTCACCCAAAGGCACACATATAGTTCAAATCCACCAGCTACTCTGTAAGAAAAAGGTGGGCAATATCCTCCTATGTGATTTATAGCCTCTGAAAACCAGCTAGAGGGTCTGCTGTCAGTCAATTCCTACTTGATGGCACATAACAACAGCAGCAGCATCAGTGTTTAAGAAGAGGGCAGGGAAAGCATCCATCCATGGAAATTGAAGAAATGAACTCACCTGAGCCCTTGCTTCCCTCTGTCCAGGAACCATATCCTCTTTCTGAGATCTTCCCCTGAGGATTGGTGGTGTCTCGAGAAGGTGGATCTGAAAGAAGAAAAACAGAGACAGAAAGAAGCCCCTTCTGCTTTCTACCTCTTAGAATCAACAGCTCTGAAATCCTCACATCAATTGAGATTAACTCCATACCCCTTCAGACTAGGAAGTGAGAAGGAGTCAGGAGCTACAGAATCAGAGAGAAGGCTATGGTCCCCTTGGCCCACCTGGGTCCCTATTCTTCCCAAGCTCTCGGTTCAGAGAGCAAAGTCAGAAAAGGACAATAGATTCTCTCAGTAGTAGCAGGAACATGCCAGACCCTACTTTACTTTAAGTAGTCTTTACTGGTGGCCTAGTGGTAAAACACTGCACAGCAATCCCAAAGGAACGCTGTTCTGATCCACCGGTGGCTTAACGAAGAAGGGTAAATAATTTCTTCTCGTGCGATTTACTGCCTCTGAAAACTCACTGGAGGGTCAGCGATGAGCCAGTGGCACATAACCGCATTCAATAAATAAGCAAACTGAAGGGTAGCAACCAGATTCCAACCAAATCCACTACGCACTACTTGGCAACTGACAACTTTCTTTCAAGTTCTTTCCCATCCAATTCCTTCCTCTCCAGTCAAGGAATAGGTGACCAGAATAGCCTTCAGATAACGAAGAGGAAGCAACACTCTTGAGGAAACAACACAGACAGCAAAAGACTTCTGTTTTAGTCGTGGCTCTGGCATTGTGAGACCCAAGCAATGCACCTCTCCCACAAAGTAGACAATTTTATCGGCTACGCAGTTATGATGATGGAAAGGGGAGGGGCTACTTTTTTTTATTTTCACCGAAGTGAAGGACAGTAGCAAACTGAAATGCCTGCAGGGACGTGGTGGGTAACTCTCAGTAAATAAGCCAAGGAGGAGTGGGACTGGGGCTTGAGGCAAAAGGAGTGCCCAAACTGAAGTATTCAGAGGCTGTCTCTGCTGGGAGACTAGCAGGGGACTCAAGTGCGCGGGCCCTCGTCTGCCCCGACCACAAAGGCCTCATGAACCCCAAGACAGCTGCAGGATCCGCCCCTCCCGGGTCTTCCATAACCCAGCCACAGGCCTGACTTCGGGATGCAGCTCCAGAGACACTTCAATCCTGGAGTCACCTCCACCAGAGGGTCCGGTCTTTCCTCCTGCATCCCAGCTCACCTCTTCTCGGGGCGACGCCTTCCTCCGGCTGCGCTCGGCAGACAAGAGGCCTCGGAATCTCCCGGCCCGGCCACGGGGAAACCCTTGGCTCAGGGACTCACGGGTGATGCCAGGGCAGATCCCGGAGCTCAGAGACCGCCAGCTGGGCGACACAGGATCCGCACCCCAGGCGGGTTCAGGAGGGGCGGGGCAGGGACTTGCTAATGAGCTAAGGTTGCTAAAGCCTCTGGGAAGTGGAGTCAACGCGAGGCCTCCAAAATACTGGGAAGTGTAGTTCTCGTGTTTGCCAGTAGAGGCGGGACCCCAAAATGAGACCTGTCACAGAGCTAGAGCATTAAAAAAAAAAAAAAAAAAAACAACAAAGAAAGGTGCACTATTACATTATGTAAACTAAAGTTTGAGAATTAAAGTTCCCTTTCAGGCAACATCTTCAAGGTTTGTATTTAGCTAAATGATGATAAATTTATAAAGAGATGAGTACAAAACTATTTCCCCTTCAGTTATACAACAACAAGTATTGAGAGCCTACTATATACCAGCAGCCAGGAAATAAAAAACACGTATTGCGATGGGAAAGTCTGCTGTTAGGGACCTCTCTAAAGGACTCAAGAGCAACGGTGTCTCTCTGGAGACTAAGGTCCGCCTGATAAAGGCCATGGTATTTGCAATCGCTTGTTATGCATCAGAGAGTTGGACAATGACTAGGGAAGATAGAAGGAGAATTGACGCCTTTGAGCTGTGGTACTGGAGAAGAGTATTGAATGTACCATGGACTGCCAAGAAAACAAACAGATTCATTCTAGAGAGGGTTAAACCAGGCTACTGCTTGGAGGCAAGGATTTTGGAGATTCGTCTGACATACTTTGGACATGTTGTAAGGAGAGACAGGTCTTTCTTTTTTTTTTCTATATTTTATTAATTTTCATAAACATTTATAGAGATTTTGGGTTTCCATTCATTCATTGTTGCACTATTCTCTCTACCCTCCTCCCAGTTTGTTCTTGTCCAAATGCCACAGTGCTTGTCAAAGCCAGTTCTGATTAATCTTCTTTGACAGTGTGTCCTTTGCCATTCCCTATCACTCCTCCCTGAGAGAGACTTCACCCTGAGTCATAAGGAAAAGGGGATGGCGTATTCTCTTAGCTACTTCCTGCTGAAAAGGGACGCTGTGGGTTTCAGGGTGAAGATCTTCTCAGTAGGAAACACATAGAGACCATAGCTGACATCCAAGCAGATATATGCACACCCATGTTTATTGCAGCTTTGTTCACAATAGCAAGGAGTTGGAAACAACCTAAGTGCCCATCAACAAACGAATGGCTAGAGAAGCTGTGGTATATTCGCACAATGGAATACTATGCTGCATTAAAAAACAAGGAACTCATGCAATATTATTCAAAATGGTTGACTCTGGAGAACATTATGCTGAGTGAAATATCCCAGTCACAAAAGGACAAATATTACATGATGCCACTGTTGTAGAATGGGACTGTCCTTGGGGTTGGGGAGAGACTGAGTAAGATGGGTTCAATAATGTATACTGCACTGAAACAGAGGAGGGAGAAAACGGTTTAAAAGAGATATATAACTAGGTATTTCTGTCATCACAGGAGACTAGAGCGAGGGCTACATGGTGGAGGGGACCTGGGGGAGGGTTTGTAAAACAATGAAAGAATCTTTTATTTTACTTTTCCATAATTTTTGGACTCATGTACTTATAACTTGTTAGTCAAATTTGTGTCTTCTAGGTTGCAACACCCCCATGATACATCTTCAAGGATATGAACATGTATGTCCAAGCACAATCAATAAGAGTGCATCTAAATTCCAAAATCAATCTCCATAATAGTCTATGTGTTTCCTACTGCCAAAGAGACAGGTCTTTCGAGAGGGACATCATTCTGGATAGAGTAGAGGGACAGCGCAGGAGGGGAAGACCCTCTATGAGGTGGATTGATTCAGTGACTGGGGTAATCGGGATGGGTGTGTCGGAGGCAATGCGATTGGCACAGGATAGAGCAGGGTTTAGGGCTGTTGTACACAGGGTCGCTATGAGTCGCAAACGACTCGATGGCACATAACAACAACAAGGACGAAAGACGATCATGTTAAAACGTACTATGACTCTGTGGGTTCGAACTCACAGTGATCCTGTAAGGACTAATAAAAATGTCCCATAGGGTTTTCAAATATACAAACTATAAGAATACAGACTGCCACATCTTTAGTGGAATAGTTAATGGGTTGCAATTCTCTTTTGGCTAGCAGCTGAGTGCTTAATAACGTGTATCACCAGGGGCCTTCTTACGTTTTTGTAATATATTTCAAAACACCTACAGAAATCTTAAGGGAGGTCAGGTAGCTTAGTGAAAAGGAATAGTGCAGTCAACCCAAACACATGAGGTTCAGATCCACTAACTGTTCCATGGGAGAAAGATGGGCAGTCTCAGCTCATGTGATGTCCTACCTCTGAAACTCTCTGGAGGGTCAACTGTGTATGGGTCAGTTCCAAAGAGTAACAACAATCGTAAGACCTTTAAAAAAATAAATGTTTGTTTTATACTGGATTGGCGTTCACACTGGATCTTTCCCATTTCCTTTACCCAACCCTCCCTCTAACCGTCAAATTGTGTGACCCTATGATTACTCCATGCACATCCTCACCCCTCTGTTCCTACCCTCTCCTCTTTGGGTCATCAACACATTTTACTAGTCATCTTTCTATTTCTTCAATAATGATCTTATACAGTATTTGTCCTTATATGACTGAGTTAGTTCACTTACCATAATGCTTTTCAGATCCTCCCAAGTTAGGTAGTACTTTTCAAAATCAATCTTCCTACATGCTGCATTGTAATCCATCAACTGAATGTACCATAATTTCTCAATCCATTCGATTGTGCTTGGATATTTGGATTATTTCCATGTTCTTGGATTAGTGGATAGCAGCACTGCTGTGAACATTGGTGTACAAATCTCTGGTGTACATTTTTAAATACTATTATAAACAATGACAAAATTATAACAATTTTTAATTATAAATTATATTGCCATTGGAAACTCTCTTGAGAGTGATGACACCTAGGCCAAAGAGAGAAACTAAACAGCTTTTTTAGAAGTTAAATGTTATGGGCTAAAAATGAAAGGAGAAGAAGCAGGGGGGTCCCACCAGACAGGCCTTGCTGGAGAGATGCGAATTATCCAAAGATTCCTATATACTCTGAGAAAGAATCAAGATTTCAGACTCGGAAGAGCCAAAATATTATTCTTTTTAATTAAGTATTTTCAATTACAAAAGGAATTCACATGTTATTCAAAAGTGTTTGAAAAATAGAGAAAAAGTAAAAGGAGATGAAAAAAATTTTATGTCATCATACAAAAACAAGAGATTAGGACTTAGCTATAAGAGGCTGCTCTCACAGGCTCTGAACTGAACCCTACCTTGAGTAAGAAGTTCAAAGAGAAACAAAGGTGGGGTAGCTGTCCCACTGATTTCTAGAGCATTGTCTTCATATCAAGAACCTATAAATGTCATGAAAGAAGCAGGCTATTCCACAACATACAAAAGAGCAAAGCAAGATGTCACGCCCAAAGGGTGACACAGGTGGATTTCCTGAAGCCAGAAAGTCTGATGGAGCTTTCTGACATAGAATTTAAAAGAACAATGATTGGATATTTTCAATGGGTGAAAGACAAACTTGAAAAATTACAAGACACTGCAAGCAAAAACCAGGAGAAGCTTTAAAAAACAACCCAAAACAATGTAGATAAAACAAATGAGGCATTAGTGGCAATGGAAAAACAAGAAATC